CGTTTACGTTGTTTGTCCAGTGTACTTTCTGTATCTAATCCTAATGACTCGAGTTCGCTTGTTATTTGCGCTTTGCTTAGTCGGTAAATCCACTCTTTTCTCATTTTGATAGCTTGTGTTTGATAGCTTTTCTCTCGGTTCTAAGCCTGTTCGGGCGCCATAAAACGGCCTGACCTTTCTTCGCGCGGGGTAGCTCGTCGGGAGAAGCAACGTGGTGAAAGGAGGGTCCGGGAGTGAGAAAAGGGCACAAAGAAAATGCAATGTGTTTGAGAAAATTAAGAAAGAGATATATTAACAAAATAGTAAGATATATTACATAATAAAAGAATATCTGGAAAAGATAATAATGAAGAAGATATAATAATCGGCGTGAATTTTGTGCGCGGCGAGAGAGTGGATTTCTCGACGTTGAGTTTGCGTGTATTGGGTATGCGTTTGTTAAGCTACCGGCGGATAGCGGGCACGGTGTGTGTGTGTCGTATGCATAAGTGCCTGGGGAACTCAGGGTGGGAACGCCCGGCGGCCGAGTATGTTCGGCAGGGACGAGACGGATCTCGCACAGGGGTGAAGGAAGGATCGGGCAGTGAGAAACAACATGGCTACCGGGCCATGCAATTTCGGGAGTAAAACTTATGCGCGCGCAAGCAGGCTGTAACCGAAGCGTGGGGGAGAGGCAAGCTCACAGCTCACTGCATAAACGAAACAAGACAATAAAAGAAGGTTAGACACGATTTCTGTTTCTGTTCTTAATCATAGATAATTATTTTGTTCTTAATCGCTTTTTTATCTTTTAGCGAGTGCCGAACATCTATGTCTTTCTCGTGTTTCGACAAGAAATGAGTTCCCAGACTTATTTCTTCCTGTTTGCAGCGAAAGAAGTTTAAGCTTCGTTTTCGTAAGGTATGTTTTCTATTTCTGTTATTGATACTTTTGATGTTTGATATTTATTAGTAACTTTTTTATATTTCATAATTATTTTTCAAATATTTGATAACTTGCTCTTGTTTTGAACCAATAAGTACTTGAATATACGCTTGAAATATAATTGTTTCCAAGCTAGCGAAGAAAGATTATTATGTTATTAATATGTTCGATATTTGTAATAGTCATTTTATCCGCTAACACGTTATTAAGTTTTCCTCGCTAGCTTTGAAACATTGTTTTGCAAGTGTATACGAGTACTCGATTCTAAAATGCAACAGAATTGTAATGCTTGCAACGTCATATTTTAGGAATTGATATGAAGGATACATTGCAAAAGGTGCTATACAGGGTGATTCAGAACAACCCCTCGTCCTTGAAAAGACGTATTCTTGACTCAATTCTAAGACGATTTTTCCTTTACAAAAATTTTGTCCGAAGCTTAGTTTTCAAATTATAACGAGAAATAGTTAGCAAATTACGGGCCGCGTACGGATGGTAGACAGGGGCGGCGCAACTTACTGTCCGCCGGCAGGCGGTACGCGGGACCGTCGCGACGATCAGCTGACTACACGCGCGCATAAACATGCGTTTACATTCTCTCTCTCTCTCTCTTTTTCACACACACACACACACGCACGCACGCCGCACGCAATATCTTACCTTTTGAAAGATTTGTCGACTTCTCGAAAAAGATGGATTAATTCCCATGTGATTTCCACGTAATGAGTGTTTATTTAATAATTTCAATAGTTTAATGCAAACGTCA